TGCCATTTTGCATGTTTCTAAGTTCAAATGAGGAAGAAATTAACATTTAAAACGCCTGATCTGATCTTCAGGTCCCACTGGTTTATTACACTCGTCCTTACAGCATCAATCCCACTCGTGTGGTTTAATGAACAGGGAATTGGATTAAGACTCAAGAAAACTAAGGCACTTTCTTTTGAACTGAGACTCATTAAATGGAATGAAAGCTACCCAGGAGTAGTTTGGACTGCGGTGTGCAGGAGAGAATCTCTCACACCGAGAGGCGTTCACAGCAATGTGAGGGGATTCCTTCATCAAGTAGGGCTTTAACCTTTAAAGTCCTTTCCAATTCCTAGTGTCTGAGACTCCTTCTTGTGGCTGATCTAGACAATTAACCTCACTGTGTCTGACTTTCTTCTCCATGAAATAGCTCTGGCACCTGTATACTTCCAAAGAATATTCTAGGTTCAGTGGGCTATTTATGATGCAAGCAGGCACACTGTGGAACAGGGGCAGTGTAAATCGCAAGGTTTGTTAGTGTTGAAGAAGACACACAAGACACACACCATTTCTGCACATTCACTGGAAATAGAAGGAGTTTTTGTTCCTCTCCCATATGTTCCCCTCATGCCAGCTCCTCAATATACAAGCAGATCAGCATTTTTCTGTGTCATATTTGCATACACAGAGGAGACAGCCAAAGCATTTAGAATTGGCCGTGTAGACACTTTTTAAATGTTATCTCTATATACAGCCTAGCTCACATCCATGGGAAACAAACTGGCTTGACTCTAAAGCACTTCCATAATTTTAAGTTCCTGATTGCATGCCCAGGGATGGGGGATAAGAGAAAACACTCCTGATATTACATCATAGCAATGAGTTTTGTCTTTGAACTTAGAGAAAAGACTCAAGAGTTGTGCAATAAACTTGTACACCCACTCCTCCATCCAGATGTACCAACCATTTTTAACTAACCAAGTTCATTTTAATCTTCTCTCATTCTTTCGACATAGAAATAACTACATGGTGGTGCTCTCCCACGAGCCTTGTGTGATAGGCTGGGGCAGGAAGATCAGAAGCCCAAAGTCATCCTGGGCTAAATAGTATGCTGTGCTTTGTCACAGTTTCAATGGGTAGCGATCAATGTTCTTGGTTCAGTTTTCGGCACCATGAAAAAAGTAGGAGTAATAATAACTATGAGGTCTATAGAACCACCGGAAAGTATATTGTAGATATTCTGACTTTTTGCTCACTAGTAATACATTGTTGTGCTTACTTTAGAAACTAACTTTCTTCATTACAGCCACACTACAATCCATCAATGCAAGAAGCTTAGCAATGATACAATACTGTCAAGCAAACACATTCGTGGTTAATTCTCTTTTCCCTAATTGCACCAGCAGCGTTCACTGTGTTTCATTGTGGCATCTCTTTGGTCTCCTTTGGTCTTGAACCTTCCTTTCTCATTTATGACACTGATACTTGTGGAGAGTCAAGATGAGATAAGAGTTTTATATAATGTCACTCACTTGGATTTGTCTGGTCCATCCCTGATCTACATTTCAAGGTGGCATCTAAGATGCCTCCACCTCTCTAGGCTAGAAAAATCACCAAATTTCTAGTTTAGCACACACCATTGGCATTGCCTGTAAGAGAAATCTTGGCAGGGCTAGGTCACCTGATCAGGGCAGGCATCCAAATGAAGGTGTCAGAACACTAGGGGCTGCTCTTAAATCTGTTTCCTTTCCCTAAGGTCATTACCTGTTTAACGAATAATTTTTTAACTAGTCATTACAATGAAACAGAAAATGATTGATGCATTGCTGCAAAATGCAAATATAAAGGAAATCTCTCAGCAAATGTTCTGTCCTGTGAAGGGAGGAAGCATTTTAAATTGCAAATCCTGCATCGTTGGCTCGTGAGGGCAGAAAGACTTGGCTTAAGGCAGCAATTGCTTCGGGAAGACAGTGCCAAGTCACTGTCCTTGTCACGCCTCGGCTCTGTCATCTTTCAGTCTGTAGATCCCTCCTTCCCCCAGAACCCACTTACCTACAGACCCAGGAGTGAGTTTTCCCATTTACAAGCTTCGTGGTAAGTTTTTATTATAAAGAGAAAATCATTCCAATTAGAAATTGACCCTCCGCATTGACTCACTGCTCTTCTCCCCCTCACGGCATGAAAATCCTTTCGGAAACCATCGTGAGAGAGGATGGTCACCGCATGCCAAGACAAGGTCTGATGCTTTTATGCCGGTCTAGAATTTGCTTTCTCTGTTTGCTGACAAAGCAAGTCAGTTAGTTTTGAGTCATCCATGCAATCAGTCGTCCCGAAACACAAAAGCCGGGCGGGGTCACTGATTGATCTAGGAGAAAGAACCCTGCTTGGGCATCAGATGACAGATTTGGCTTTAAGCCCTGAACTTGCTGCACGACTGTGACCTCCAGCATGTCCATCCTACAGCAGGCCCAACCAGCTTTTTAACGTATGACATTAAGGGGCAGATGAAACTGCACCCACCGAGGGATACTTTCTGGAATAAAAATCTCCTCCAAGCTTCAGAGGCCTTGCGGAGTTCAGCCCAGGCCTAAGATCTAGTGAGCATCCAGGAAGCATGTCCCCTTGAATGCGAATGTGAATGAATGAAGTTACAGAGTTCAGCCCAGGCCTAAGATCTAGTGAGCATCCAGGAAACATGTCCCCTTGAATGCGAATGTGAATGAATAAAGTGGGAGCTGATGCCCTCAACTCTAAATGCCAACAGGGTGCTGGTTGGGGAGATGCTCTTCAGGGTTGACATTCCTTTCAGCAAAGAACAAAGGAGGCGCTCTTTGCAATGCATGAAATGTGCTTTTTAAATGTTTCCCCCACTTTATTTAAAGGCCACATTGCTCTCTCCTAGGTGGTCATGCTGCAGCTAATTAATAAATGAATAAATAAATAAATAAATAAATGCATAACAGCAGAGCATGAAGCCTGAAGAAGGGGAGACAGGAAAAATCAGCCTCTGGCTCCTTTCCTTCTCACGAAACCTGTTTAAGCTTCCTTATCCCCTCCGCAACAATAGCCTGTATTTATAAGGTAGCCCAGAGACATGGAAAGATAGAGCACTAGACTCACAAATAGTCTTAATCTACGGTTTCTGCTCGCTGTCCCAATAGCCCCGAGTAGGTTATTTAACTGCTCTGGGCCTTGGTTTCTGTACCTGAAATAATAAACGTGATAACTTGCTACATAGTGCTATTATGAGGTTTAATTACTCAAAGAAATAACAAATACATATATGCTCCATTCCAACCCCAACCGCATTCTTAGCACTCGGTGGTGGTTCAGAAAATGAAACTTGGTAAGACAAAAAAAAAAAAGGAGTGTTTCAGGGTTGGCTCTAGCCAATTAGAAAGGGAGTGAAGGATGAGGAGGCTGTTGTTCTAATCTTTATGAAAAAAAAGAGAGAGGGGTGGAAGAAAATGCACTAACTCCTAACATGGTTCTGCAACAGTCTCCCTCAACTCCACTCAATTTAACTCTGAAAATAGTGTCGTGAAAAACTGGCTACACTTCAGAATCCAACCTATCTCCTGTGTTGGAGAAGCTGAAATAAATGGGACTACTAAAGGGAGGGCAGTAAAAAAAATAACAGAGAGAGAAGCAAATATCTCACGTCTGGAAGGGGCTGGAATCCATGTGCCATCCTGTACCATGTACAATTTCCATACAATTTTCCATCTGAACATTCATAAAGTTTAATATTCTCTGTTGATTACCTCTGGCTAACAAATCCTGAAGGCACTGAACTGCAGACTTTTTTTAAAAGTCAATTTTCCAATGTGATAGGAGTCCTTGAGTGAGACAAACAGAGAGAGGGAGACAGACAGAGAGAGAGAGAAGAGAGAGAGAGAGAGAGAGAGAGAGAGAGAGAGAGAGAGAGAGAGAGAGAGAGAGAGAGAGAGAAACACCATACACCAGTTCACATCAGGGTTATGAGGTGGAGATTTTCTATGATTGCATACCTTGCCTAGTATCCTATTAGGGAAAAGTGCAAGTTGGGTTAATCTAGACCTATGGTAAAGCAAATATTCCATCAATTTAGGCTGCTGCATACACTTTGCGACAACTACCAGCAGTTACATTTTAAATGACGTTTTTGCTTTCACTATCATACCCCAAATCCTATAGTACATTTTAATCAGATAAGGACTTAACCAACACAACTTTCTAACATATTATCAAGAGATATAAGGAGCCATTTACAGATTCTTTATTGGGATAACACCAAAAAAGTATACATATACAAAGCAAGCCACTCAATTAGCTGGTGAATGACATGCTACAAATAAATATTTGATGGTAAGTTTACACAAATTAGCAGCCCCTAGAAATCCTTGTATTCACTGAGATTTTAAAAGATGTCAGGTGTTGGGACTGAAAAGATGACTGAGCACTTGTGAGTGCTGCCTGCTCTATGAGAGGACCTGATTTCAGTTCCCAGCATTGGCATCAGTCAGCTCTCACAGCTGCCGGGAATTCCAGATCCAGGGCATCTGATCCCCATTCCCGGCCTCTGCTGGCACAGGGACAGATACATGAACATGCAGGCACACTCACACACATATTCACGAGAATGGATTTTCTAAAATATGCCTCTAAAGATGATACCAGGTGCTATTTTGTTGAGTACCTCTAGAAACTTGAGTCAAGGTTTTGTTTGTTGAAGTTTCATAGTCACAGACTTGATATGTTAAAGACCTGTAGTGTTGGCTACAAGGTTGAAAACCCAGATGAATGCTAAATGGATTTGAAATGCACTTGGGAAAATTGTGCTTCCAAGCCACACAGACCCACAAATGGAAACTATCAGTGCAATCTACCCGAGAAGGAGGGATGATGAATAGGAAGTCAATAGTGTAACCTTTAGGCTGGTGGCCGCTTGATACATTTTGGGAATGTTCTGCTTTTGACTGTAAATGGCAAATAAACAACACAGATCCATCTCTGGTGCATGATTGGATGTCATTTTCCAGGTCTAATTCGCCTGCAAGAGCTCATCAAAGCTCCTTCCAGATACAACATTAAAATCAAAATCCGCCAGCTGCCCTCTGGGAATAAAGATGCCAAACCGCTGCTCAAGGAGATGAAGAAAGGCAAAGAGTTTTACGTGATATTTGATTGTTCCCACGAAACGGCTGCTGACATCCTTAAGCAGGTAAGAGGTCTGTGGAGGGGGCTGGAAAGTTTCTACACCCCTATAAGCCTCTCCGCCGATGCAGCAGCCCAAATCAGACCAAATCAAACCAAATTAGAAAAGCCCACGTTTCCCAGATGGCCTTCCAATCCCCCAGAGAGGAGACAGGCAGTTTAAATGCCCTGGGGAATGGTCTTGAGCATCTCTGGGGGAGGGGGTCATCATTTGGTGGGCTTTCTGAGATGTAGCAGAATTTGGAGGGAGATAAAAGAGGAAGGAGAGTTTGGGTGGAACTTCCACCATAACAGGGGTAAAAGTTGGGAGAAATACATTTCATCTTTCTCAAAAAAAATTGTGGTTGGTTTTGGTTTTCACTCCGTGCAGCCTGATACAGCCGCCACAGTATAGGCTAAAGACTGTAATTTTCAGACCCCTTTAAAGGAGTCCAGGGTATGGTTGGCTCAAAGACAATTGTGAGGTGTGTGTACTGCTCTGCATGTACTGTGTGGCAGCAGATGGAGGGAGAGGGTAGATTCTAAGTGATGCAAATATCTGTTTTCTTTACATCTTCTGAGAACAGCAAGCCACACCTCATTTGAGTAATGTGTGCTGCAAGACCTCTGCGGCCTGCACTGCAGAGTTCTAAGCAATCTCAGCCTAAGGAAGATCCTTCTCTTGTTATGGACAGACAGTAAGCTGCTTTGCCTTCATCTCCAGAGGATGTAGGTAGAAACAGGCAGTTAACAAATCCTCCACAGATGAAAGATGTCAGTCATGTTCATGATTATCATAAAGCAGTGTTAATTGAGTTGCTGAGGAGTTCGATCTAACACCCAAGAAAGAAAATTAAAAATTTGTAAAAGATAAAGCACTGATTTCCAGTACTCCCTGCAGAGTGATTCTAATTCCAGGGACTTGTGGCAAGAGCCACACGTGTTTGGGGTTGCCATACTTGGGATACTAGAGTGCTGTACTCAAGATTGTACATTTGGGCCAAAACTACATCTAGAAAGTATATAGGTGTATCTAGAAATACTAGTCAGGAATTTCAAATAGAAGCAATAATAAAAAATATCAAAGAATTAAACCTGGAGGAAAATTGGGGGAGAAAAACGTGTAGTCTTTGTGCTTAAATATATTACATAAGCCAATGTCCGTATCAATATTTTAAAATAATGTATACTATATAAATTGTGCACCATGGTTAAAACACTAAAGGTTGTAACTGGATGACAATTTCCTACATGCACTAGCAACTCGCAGTGAATAAGCACTGTGATTTTGGAACCACTAGGATGTTGTCTTCTGATACAGTCATGCATGTCTAGGATGCTGTCTTCTGAAACAGTCATGCATGTATCCTGGGGCTACACAGTCTATGACCATACTTGTAGAGGACTTCTGCTGCTGCTGAGTTAAAAATGAGAGCTGGGACTGCACCAGAAGTACACAGCTAGGAAAGCCAACCATTTGTCTGATTCATCTACTGAATGATTGCTGTAAAAGATGCTACCTAGAACTGCCTGATTATTAAGGCTTCATTTATACAACTTAACACAACTGATTAAAGTACACAACGGGGTATAGATCAGAACTGGAAAAAATCACACCCAGCTTTTATGTGCAACTCCCAAAATGCAAACAAGCAATCCTTCCCAGGAGCCCCTGACAGCAGAGAGTGGGGACTTTGTTACATCCAAGAGAATAATTTTCTAGTGATATGTACATGGTATTCAATCTGACTCACACAACCAGCTACAATTTTCCCAAAAGATAGGCCTGGGATAAATAAGAGAAGACTGCCATGGATCCTGGCTGAGAGACTTTTCCTTCTTTATTGATAAATGAAAGCCTAGTGATCCTTTTTTAGAAATAATGTTTATAGTAGGTTATGGATTATGTATTTCAAAAACAATTAAAATGAAAGCCAAGCCTGGCAGTGATGGAGGTCTGGGGACAGAAGCAGGAAATGGAATCCGGCTCTTCTTAGTTCTGGCCATTGGTACAAGTGCTTTTCTTTCACCTTCGTCTTAGGTTTTCAAACTGGGCTTCCTTTTTCTGATCATTGTGTGACAAGAGTGTCAGTGAAGTTTGGTGGAAGTCACAAGAAGCTACTCGGCTGCTTTTTATTAAAAAAATGCATCCTCTCATATATTACATTCTAACCACAGTTTTTCCCCCTCTTCTCCTCCCAGTCGCTCCCTCCAAACCACCTCCCTTCTCCCCCATATCCACTCCTCCCCCGTTTTCCTTCAGAAAGGGCAGGCCTCCCAGACATACCCACTGACCGTGGGCTAACGAGATACTATAAGGGACATTACATATTAAGTTTAGATGAGGCAACCCAGTAGGAGGAAAACAGTCCCAAGTGCAGGCAAAATAGTCGGAGACATCCCTTGGAGTCCCACAAGAACACTAAGCTACACAACCATAAGGTACATGCACAGCACCTAGCTCAGAGCCACACAGGGTCCATGTTCATCTCTTCGGTTTCTGTGAGCCCCTATGAGCCCTGCTTATTTGACTCTGTCGGTTTTCTTGTCATATCCTTGACCCCTCTTGCTCCTACAATACTGCCCCCAACACACACATATTTCCCTAGGATTCCCCACATTTCAGGATGAGGGAGAAATCTAGTACAATGGAAACTCCCAGGAATCTAGGAGGGTAACCCTAGCTAAGACACCTAGCATTGGGGAATACGGAGCCTGCACCAGTCATTTTCTGTAACCAGACATGGCATCCAGTGGAGGGATTGAGACAGCAACCCGGTCATAAAAGCTTAAACCTACAGTCTGTCCAGTCTATAAGATCTGCTGGGGTAAACATATCACAGAACTTGTGGAGTGGCCAACCAATGGCTGATTCAGCTTGACCCATGCCACAGAAAAGGAGCCCATGATTGACACTGCCTTGAGGACCAAGAACCAGAAGCTAGATAGCACAGAGACCTAGGATAGAACCAAACACATTAGGGGGAAAAAGTCAAATAAATGTTTCCTAATGATACTCTGCTACACTTATAGACGAGAGCCTAGTATACCGTCACCTGAGAGGCTTCATCCAGCAACTGATGGGAACAGATGCAAAGACACACAGCCAAACTTAGACCCACTGAGTTGACTTCATGCTGCCTGTATGAATGAACATGGGTTTGAGACCATCCTCTGGAGCATGGGTAACCTCTCCACACATACCTGAAGAAAACTGGGTATTCCTTCCCCAGAAGTCATCAATTGCCAGCACCTAGGGACGCAACCTAATTAGACCCTCTCCACCCATGCTGTGATCTTGGGCTAGCTTGATCTTGTATAGATCACTTGCACACACCCTCAGTCACTTATACCTTATACACTTTCATGCAGAAAGATGCTGGTTCACTGGAGAATTCTGCTCCTTCTGGCTCCACGAACCTTTTCCTCTTTCACAATGACCCCTGAGCCTGGGGGCTAGCAAGTCTGATAGCATTTTTACTCATGACTTGCAAGTAGTTTTGAGGAAAGAACCTGCAAATGCAGCTACTCCTTCTGCATTGGCTGCAGAGGACCTGAGCTAGCCTGAAGACCAGAGCCTGTTATGTTGAATACTCAGTTTGCTATTCTGGTTAAAATAATAATACCCAAGCACTCTTTGTGATTCTCTTTAAGTGACTCCATTAGCTTTGGGCATTGACCTATAAGAAGCAAGACAGGTACCTTGCCTAAAGCTGTCTAAGGAGTTCTCTCAGGGAACTGGGGAACTCAGCCATCTAAAGCTGATTCTGGTTACAGTTCACTAAAAGAAAAAGAAAATGAAGGAGGCTCATGTCCTTGGTAGAGGGCTTCGCTGGATGACAATTACGGTGCCTGATTTCTTACACTCCCATGCCATGCATTCCGAGGTGAGTTTGGCACTCTCGCTTACGAACAGAAGAAACCAGAGCTCTGCTAAATAAAGAGGCCCATGCAACTGGACTGTGTGGAGCCAGGCTGCCAAATAATCTCTGCAGGCGCTCAGATGTCAAAGGCTATGAAATCATGTTACCACGAAGGACCCTCTTTTGCAACGGACTGTCAGTTGCAGACTTCCAAAAATGTATAGGGAAAACACATCCACTTGCCCCTGTTTATCCTATGAGGTTGGCATTAGTAACTTTCTGGTTTTGTGTATGAAGATCACTGCCAGGAACTCTCCTGGTCAGTCTGGCATCCCCTCGCTGTCTCCATGGCCTCCTTGCTCTTCCCTGCACCTTCATCACACATTCTCATTGCTAATGCCTCTTTAAAAAGGGGATTAAATGCACCTTAAGGGAGGTATTTGACATTTATGTGAAAGTTTAAAAAAACGGAGAAGAGTCTATAGTTATTGAACACCCTAATCACTCGGCAAGGTGATTATTCCTATTCATATAGAACAAGTACTATGTGATGAGAATCTGAAGTTATTTACCCCAAATTAGTTCAGGATTCAAATGCCAAGACTTGATTAGACTAGAGAAGAGCACAGCTTTCTCGTGAACATACTGCCTTTGCAATTAGTCACAGTTTCCCCTCAACAGCTGGCAGGTCACATGGGCCAGGTCACAGGTCAAGGCCACCACCCCACCTTATTCATGCATCATTTTCTAGCAAGCATCCCTAAGTCTGAGAGCATGATGGCTTCTCCTATCTACTGAGCCCCTTCCTTACTCTAATGTCCGAAGTCCTACTCCTCCCCAGTGGCAATCACACACCACACACACTCACACACACACACACACACACACACACACAGAGACACACACACCCCTTTTCTCATGGAGTTATCCTTTGAGGAAGTGCCTGACAGGAAATGTGTTTCTATGATGAAGAGAAGGGTAGGGAGACATTATATGTGAACTCTCAACCTGAGCCTTACTCCAGACTGGGATGTAAGCAGCCATCTCATTTAGTGATCCATCATCCCAGCCGGATTAGTAGCATTCTTCTATTCCAATTGAAACCTGATGCTTAGAGGAAATAATTTCATCTTCTATGAACTAAGCATGTTTTCAGTATAAAACA